AAAAAAAAAAAAAAAGCAGGAAGGTTGCAGCATCTAATCTTACCCGTGATTTGTCTTTATTAAAATCTCTTGTCAGGGAATTAAACTTTTTTTTTGGTGTGGGCATTGCCTTAAAAATTCAAAGCCTATCATGATGTTGGTCTTACAATAAAAATTAGACTGATTTTAATTTAAAGAGATTTATAAGTGGTTCTCTTAGGAATTTTGTTGTTTTATTCACCAGTTAGAAGGCCAATAGAAACAGACCAATGACGTTTAGCTTGCAAGTTAATGAAAAACAAATCCCCTATTGAAATAAACTAGATATTTTTTTCTTTTAATATAGAGAGATCAAGCTCAGGCCTACAAAACTTTTCAAAGAGAAAACTCAACTAAATTTCTTTCTCATGTTTTTAAGATCAAACACTTTCCGCATCATGGAATTCATCATTTATTTGGGAAATCTTGCCTTCGTAGAATTCACTAATACTATTGGGTGAGGTGCAACTTCTCTTGCACAGAATATAATGCCTAAAAGAGAAAAAGACGGAAGGAATCAGAAAAGCTTTATAATGAGAATGGTTCATATATCAACGCCTTAGGAAACACACATATTATGCACAAGAAAACTGTTATCTGTGTGTTTTTTTTTCTTACTGTATCTGTGTTTTTAAGGAAAATGTGTATTTAACTTCACAAAGCAGAAACATGCATCTACTTAGGGAAACATTATATGGGGTTGCATTTGTGATGGGAATCCTAAGGAATTTTTTGAATATGTTAACTTTTTTGGATGACTCAGTGATGAAAGTTACAGCACAGAGTGTATTTCTTAACACAAATTTTAAGGGCAGTTTTGATAGCTTTAATGTTTCAAAGAAGCTTTGTTAATGTCCAGTTTCTGTAAAATGTGGACTTGGAACATGTCAGATCAAGGAAAAGAAGATTTTTAGTCAAGGAATAGTGTATTTTTAGAATACCAGATACCTCTGCCCAAACACACACTACCTTCTCAGAGAGGAGACGGTACGAAGAAAATGAATGATTAGGTTTCTAACTGCTATTTACAGCAAATAATCGGTTTGTCCTTCTTCTTTCCAAATACACAGATTAAGATAATAAAAGAAGTGACAGTGGATTCCTTGTGGAATTAACTGTTCCTCTCAAGCTCTATGCTGGTAGCAGTAGCATTTGCAAGTTCTTCCGGCCCTGCCCAGGAGTGTACATGTTTGTGTATACAGGTTTCACTGGCAGACCTAATTTCAGAATACATAATGCATGATTTTGAAACCAATTTGTTATTGTAATAAAATATTTTTTAGGAATGCATGGAAGTACTCGAGAGAAGAATGTTAAATTATACATGCATTGTGGCCGAGTGCATTCATTTAGCTCAGTCTGCAGGTGAATCTCCCCGTGACCTTGGCACTTGCTGGCTAGTATAGAATAACAATCAAAGCTTGGATTGGAAATCCGACCATTTCCAAATATTAACAACTTCTTTCAAAGGAAATGCTGATCTTAGCATTTATGGTAATGGGAACATCAGTATCTCTTTCAGAGTTTTTAGGGGAGGGGGAGGAAAAAAAAGCAGCCATGATCTTAATAGGATTAAAAGCCAGGCTTTTTATTTTCAAAATGCTAATTTGTTTTCTGCATTCAGTTTTCATATCAGGACTTTTGTTATTCGCTACCTAAGACCCACATGCCACTGAAGACTCACAAAATTGCTTTGGCTAAGGATGGGAAAGTGACATAAAAGCTATCTGTAAGGAATTCTGTATTCCCTCCAGGACCATTCTCTCTTCTCTCTTTTCTTTTTCTTCTTTTTTTTCTCTTGTTTTAGTCAGCTTGGAGCAGTATTCTGAGGTACAGGAGAAGAGAGGACGACTATGACTCCATTTGATTTACCTTGTGCAAATTATTAGGACGGAAAGTTTAGTCCTTAATTGAAACAGCCTGTGACCCATATGAATTAGGTGAACTGCCTGGGCTTGAGAAGTTCTGCTGTGGACTTGAGTGTCCTGGGCACATGACATTGCATAATCTGCTTATCTTGCAGGCTTTCGGCAATAGCTTATCCAGAGCTGTGAGCTGAACAGTGGGCAGAAGGAGCCCAGGACTGAGGCAGTAATTCACCATGTAATTTGTTTTGAGACTCTTACTACCAAAGATATTTGTTAGAGAATGGGACCCTTACACCTAGAAGCCTGTCATGTCTTGTGTCGAGAAATGGCTCCTCCAAATTTGAGCTCAGGATCACCTTGCTAAGAGACTCATCTGTCTTTACCTGAGTTTCAAGAAGGCTTCCTTCCTTTCTCTCTTTGCTATTTCTGCCTGAGTAGGGGGAGAAAGGACATAGAAAATCAAGTTCCAGGCATGTTGATGAAAACCGGGTGTAGCAATCCAAAGAAGCAGGTAATTTTAAGTTCGGGTCTTTCGGCAAATGAGGTGTCCCATTTGGGGTAATGCATGTTCATGGTTTGGCCCAGCAGGTGGGCTAATGCAAGGCAGATTTCTAGAGCTGCCTTATTTAGGGGATGTTACAAATGGAAAGACTATTTAAATGCTCACAAAGACATTCACAAAAATATTCCAACTCTCAAAACCCTTTTCTAAAAATTAGAAAAAAATCAAAGGAAAAAAGGCCTACGCTTTGAGTTTTGCTCACTTGTGTTTTTAATAGTAGTTTAATAGCTTTATAAAGTCACTTTTCTAAGAAAAGAAACATAAAGGAATTTGGCAACTAAAAAAGGGGGAGGGTGACTGTTGAGACATAACCAGCTGCTGAGAGAAACCCACCTGGCTCTTTTCTGTGGTGCTATGAAGGGTATTTTCAGCCTTTACCTTCCTTCCTTACCGATTTCATTGGAGAATATAAATATTGAGGAAATTTCTTTTTCCTGCCAGAACAGTTGTTTTGGTTGGCTGTGTTTTGTTTTCTGTTTGAAGGAACAGCAGGTAAAAGGAGAGACTTCATCTGCATTTTGCTTAGTTCATTGGTTTCTATTCAGTGTCCTTTGGAAGGAAAAAAATATTTCCTTCAATTAGCATTTTTCACCAAAAACAAAGGGTTTGTTCTCCTTAAGGCTCATTACTGAAATAGTCTAAGGCATATATCCCAGCCTGTTGCCATGAACATGTCTTCATTAAGGGGATGCTTAGGCTAGAAGACATACCAGCAAATGCTGACTTAGATAGAAACAGAACAAGGAGACCACACGTGTCCTCTCAAATTTTAAATGGTATCCCCATCTTCCCTGCAGAATCTGTGGGAAGGGAAGACTTTGCACATTCATTCAGTGGAAGGACTGGGCAGATGGAAGTGCTGTCTCTAGAGAACATGTGACTGAGGGTGACTGCTTTCATCCCAGTAGAAAAGCTCCAGTGGGGTTCCAAGGAAGGGAAATGAGAGCTCTTTTGGGGACGTAATAACCCATGATTCTCCATCTCCTTTAAGATATGTAGAATATCTTCTTCTTGATATGGAGAATTAGTTCAATGGAGAAAAAGCAACCTGATTGTTTGGAATGGATTACCCAGTGAGTTGATTAGAGTCTCTCGCTCCCCCAAATCCATAGCCATCAAGAACCTCAGAATGGAACCTTAATTGGAAATCGGATCTTTGCAGGTGCTTTGAGTGAAGCATCCTGAGATGCAATCACCCTGGGTTTAGGGCAGGAGCTAAATTCAATGTTTGTGTCCTCATTTAAAAAGATAGAGGGAGCCACAACACAGAGACCCATGGGGGAAGGCCAGTAAAGATGGAGACAGAGATGTAAGTAATGTATCTTCCAGCAAGGAAGGTCAGATTTGCTGCAGCCACTAGAAACCAGGTGAAAAACCTGGGACAGACCTCCCCTCAGAGCCTCCAGAAGAAACCCATCCTGATCAAACCTTGATTTTGAACTTCTGGTTTCCAGGGCTAAAAGGCAATAAATTACTCTTGTTTTAAGCCACCACGTTTGTGGTAATTTATGATAGCAGCCCTCAGAAATGAATGTACCCAGAAATACAGCACCCATGTTGGATACTTTAAGCCGAGCAGATAATCCTAATAGGAGATAAATCTGATTTTCACCTGCCACCTACAAAGCCCTCTTGGCTTGTATGGCTTACTGCTGTTAGGGCGTTAATGGCACCCAGGGCCCTCTGACGTGATGAAACAGATCTTCGGGAGGTAGTAAAAATATCAGAAGGGTAGGAGGGAGTCCAAGACTGTTCCAGCAGCACCTGCCCTGGGAATCTCAGGCTATGACTCTGGATTGAGCAGGAAGTTTCAATAAAATAGTTTTCTATCCAAATGGGTATAGGTCTAGGTATCCCCTGAACTGATTTTTCTCTCCCAGGGGCCAACAAATGTTTCTGTTCTCTTTTATGCCTTAGAATTTGACCAAAGATCCCTAAGAACACAGAAAGTACCTCTTTTCCCCAATTAGCAGTGCCAGTTAGGCTCACGGTGTAGGCTGGATTAATATGTTCAGAACTCCCTGGTTTGACAGATGTTGATGGCAGCCAATTTAGAGAATGCACTGACCTAAGAGAGGACTAAGCTGTGCAGTACTGCAAAGAAATCACTAAGCCTAGACTTGGCAGGAAAACCTAAACTGGTCTTGGTGATCTTGGTCAAGTCATTTAACATATGGAAACTAATTTCCCTTACCTAAAAACAGTGGGAGTAGCTCAATCTTCTTGGAGTTCTGAGGAATATATGAGATAATGTGCATGAAAATCATCTGTAAACCATTAGGTACCTTGCAAACTTTCAGTATTTTAGGTCACCTCTGGGGAAAAGAATTCAGTTAATTTGTTACTCCTTAGCACCACCTTGTGTCCAAGCTACTACTCTTGGATTTTAGAACTCCACATTGCAACATGGACCAGCAGTCACTGAAGAATTCAGTTCTCTTCCTAATCCCATCAATGTGAAATCAAAAGGATAAAATTGAATAAGCCATCCATGACTGTCCCTTCTCGTTTAAAATAGCACCAGATACAAATGTTTGGCAGTAGTTATTTGCTTAACAACCAAAAGGCATGACACCTGAGAGGAATCCACAAACCCAACCCCAGTGTTTCTCTAAGACAACAAAGAGGAACCCCTTAGCTTCCAGAATATAGCAATATGCAGATGACAGTTTTGTAGAAATAACAGTTTAAATCTTATCATCGGAGCAGGCTTGACTACCTGCTACAGGGATACCCCATGCCTCTGAAGTATGATGAGGAAAATGGGTTAGGCTAGAAAACAGACACTGGGTTGAAGCTCTAATGCTAGGCATTGACTAAAGAAATCAATTGCAGAGTACCGTTGCAGGTTGCATCTGCTTTATATCCTTGTTTGTGTTCGATTTGAACTGGTTGGACTGATGATAGAGGCTGGTGGGTAGGAAGAAAGTAGGATAGGAGCCAGTCTTGGAGTAGTGACAGTAATTAAATCCAGTGAAGTAATGGAACTCACATCTTCAGATGATGGGGCACTTGACATAATTTGAAGATATGGATAGTGAGCTCCAGCTTTAAGACATGAAACCAAGTCTTGGTGACAGAGGAGCTAAAGCTGTTATCTTGGAAGGGAGCTCTGATGTGAACCAAGGATGGAGCATGTTTTTTGTCATTACGTGGAGGAGATGGGGTTCAGTTGGCTTGAGGCACCAAGTCCTTGGCCCAGAATAGGTGGGCCATTGTGAGAGAAAGAAGGGGGATTATGATAGTGTAAGACTTATTTCCCATGGACACAGATGGAGTTGGGGGAGATTGAATCCAGTCAGAAATCTTCTTGACATCTGGATGGTAATTCGTGGCCAAATAGGAGGTATTTGCCCTAATCCTGGCCATGTCAAAATCAACTAAATCCAGTGTGATAATGTTGAAACTCATATCTTCATGTGATAAGACACTTAACATTATTTGAGGATGGGGAACTGAGCCCCTGCTTTAAAAGATGAAATTAAGTGTTGATGATAGAGAATATAAAGCTGGGGCTGTTGTCTTGAAAGCAAACTTGGATGTGACTTGCAAACAGGATCTGTCAGACCTTGTCCTATCCCTAATATGTGTCCTATTTTGTATTATAATTGAAGTCACTTTTTTTTTTAAGATTGATTTATGCATACAGAACTGGGGTACAGGGTAGAGGTGCAGAGGGGGAGTGAGAGGATTCACCAGAGACAGAGTGGGGAGCAGAACAGGCAGACTGACAAAGTACACTGCTGGAGGGGAGCAGTGGGCAGGTCAGGAGATGTCTGCTGCGCTATGTGGATCATCTCCGGGGCAGGGATCGAACTCATGCTGAAGTGCCTTTAGCTTCTTGGTGCTGTGCCACCAGGGAGGGCCCTGGAGTCACTTTTTAAAAGTTATTTATTTTTTTATTATTAAAAAAAATATTCATAGAAATGCTGAGTCATTGAAGACTTGGATTTAAAGAGTCATCTAAAGCATCATTATGTCATCTCCTCCCCTCTAGGGTGTTTTGTCTTCGCACCTGGACTGTAAAGTCTTCAAGCATAGTATTTAATATCTTTTAAACATTCTCTTTTGAAATAAAAAATATCCTAGAATTCAAATACAAAGCACCCTAAGGATAGAAGCCTGGATTCATGATCTGTTCCAGGTGGCAATCAGGTGCTTTCCACAGTTCAAAGTCTAGGTAGAAAGTCAGAAGTGTTGGACAAAAGAATGGAAGGTGAGAGGAAGGTAGAAATTGATATACTAAGGTTATTGTTTCACTCAACGTGGGATCAGGCAAAAATTGGCCACAATCCTTAATACTTATATTGTCATCTGTGATGTTAATGCATGCAAAAGTCAAACCTTTAAGACCACATTCATACCCTGGTCACTTTTTAACAATCTCTCTATCTACTAAATCTTGTGAAGACTTTGGGTACTGCTAGAGAGCTGAAATGTCCCAGAGTGATATTCTGAATCACTGGCATTAGAACTGCATCTGAATGGTTTACAATATTTCAAGTAAAGGTCTTCTTTAATGGATGCAAGTATGTTCTGCTCATCTCCCTATAATGGTGTGGTAGCTTTACTAGGGGGTGGATTCTGAATTATCACAGCAATCTATTTCCTTAAGATTCTTGATAACGTGGTTTGTATTTCACTAATAAATAGGACTGGTTTTATAGAAAGGCTTTTAAAAACACAGAAGCATGAGTATGTCTGCAATTTAAAAAAAAAAAACTCTTTTGTTGTTTTTTGACGCTCTCATTATCATTTTAAGGCCATGTTTGAAACAGAAGCTATCTTTCCTGTCTTCACCGGTGAGTCAAATGAATAAAGGTGACTCTTATGGCCTCTTCATAGATGCATCCTTTCCTGGCACTTTGCATTTCCGAACTGTGGGGCAGTCTTTGCCCTAGAATATTTTAATGACTACTCAGATGGAGAGATTCCTAAGACAGATGCTATCCTGAGAAATGCTAGGAAATAGTCAGAGCCCAAATAGAACTACAATTCCCCAAGATTCTGTTTCAGTGGATAAATCTATTGGCACTGTCTTTGAAAGGGGACATTAACGCCCAGGCCCTCTTTGGATGCTTAAAAATATAGTTATCAATATAGTTGCTGTGTAGATTTTGCTCTTGTTTTTTCACTTTTTCAATATTCATTCATTTAGGTTAGCAAGTCTTCTCAAGACAGTTAGCCAGAAAGGCAATTGGTGGCAACTTAGGTACAATCTAGTAGTTTGTTTTCATTTCTCCCAGTTGAAGTGCTGGAGGGACAAAGGTCTCACAGCTCAGTCATTCCAGAGCCCACAGAGATGGGTGAAACACAAAAGGAGGGCCTGCATCAATCAGCATCAACTTTTGGATAAGAATTCTTGTCATCAAACTTGGTATTTTTGTTTTCTTCTCAGATCTAAGTCTATTTTAGGTAATGAGATTTGTTTTAATCTGAAGGAAAAAAGGGAGAACAATCACTGGGGAGCAATTAGTTATCTTAAGTAAAATATAAAATAGTAAACCCTAATTGTTTTAAATTTGAAAATTTCAGAAAATTTGAACTGA